GTAATATCCTAACCCAATCTGCAGCGCTCTATTATAGGGAAGGCAAGAATAAGAGAGGGTAGAAAATATCACAAATTGATATAATATTTTTAGAGGCCTCGAATTTTTTACCATACATTTATAATATTATGACTTATTAAATATTGTGCTTAAAAAAAAAAATACCTATAAATCGTCTTTGGTCCTTATTAATAATATAAATACAATATATTTGTTTTTTAGAAACAATTTAAATTATAAACATAGAACATTTGATACTTTTAGATTTAAATGATATATGATACAAAAAAGTTAGGAAGCTTACTCTGCGAGCGTGCTAAATTCCTGATTTCTAAAAGTATTTTAATACAACGCAATAAATATTATAATTTCATATACAATGTATATTATACATTAAGTCCGGACAACAAATAAATAAATATCAACAATATCTATCAACAATCGTAACTATGATAGGTTCTAGTAACAGCTAATGGACGGACGGACACTACAGAAATATAATATGTTATGAAATTTGCTTTAGAAAAGGCTAGAAATAAATTTTTAATCGAATACTTATATTTAATGTTTTATGAAAATAAATATAAAAAATTATAGAAACATTTTTGAAATTTTATATTGAAGATTAAAAAAATTGGCCATGCTGTCCTGGGGCCTCAAAATCTTAATCTGGGCTTGTCTATAGGATTTATTATATATTTTAAAATACACCCAATAACGATACATACACAATGTATTATAATTATACAGGTAATTCCGGGTATAGATACCTATTGCAGTGTTTGTGATGCCCATCATAAACGACGAAACCGTGCAGCCGTCGACATGACTATATTATACTATTAAGACACGACCTAATTTATCAAAAGCGGTAATAATTTCACGGCGTTTTAACGCGCGCGCGTAATACCTTACGACGACTGATCACGTGTATATATACATGTACACGCATTCTACATTACACGGTACGGTAGACAGTCAAACACTAACCGTTTAATACGAAAATAATGTGTCAAGGAAACGCATTTCCTCTAAAAAAAATCACTATTTAAATTATTTTCACATATCATTATAATAATGTTTTGAGATGGAATCGGCTACAAAAACCTATAACCACGTGTTGCCCATATTATTTTTGCTACGGCCCAGCACAGCCATTATTCACATAGATACCTATCAAATCGTCGAAACTCAAAAAACAGATGATTTTCCGAGGTTCTTGCTAGAACAATATTCTGAAGACAAATGCTATGAAATAATAACAGCATATTAGTAAGTCCTAATACTTACTAATAAGTAATATTATAGATACGCATTGACAAGATTGTGTACAACTATGCAATAATACTGTACACGAGTTCATAAAGGAGCAGATCGTAATTACTATAAACTATTACTAATATAATTATAATATAGTTTTCAAATTATCAGTGTCAAATTATTCCAGAAAGGTTCTCGCCACAAAGGGTGATAATATGTGAGTTGAATTCCGTTCCGTGGATTTTCCTCCCCCCCCTCTCAATCGTATTGTAATATAATGCATACTATACGTACAGAATTCGAAATAATTGTACGTTAAACGGGCAAATAGTTGATCGTATAATCAATATATATTATTGAACTCATCCCTTTCAGTTCGATGTAATATTATACGTATCCGTGCAAGGACTGTCGATTTACATAAATATCTCGGTACATTAACGCTGGGTTATGTTTAGGTGGCATATTACAATAATGAATAATAATACATGATTTACTCGGCAAATCAAAACATATTATGCGCGTTTAAATTATAATACCATAATAACGAAAAGATTTGAACTCCCCACATAAGAATATATTAAGATTAATGTTTGTGTATTTTTGACTTGTAACGGAAACTGGAAAGTATCCGATCAGATTATCATTAGTGGTTTTTGACTTTCCTATTAAGACCGAATAATAACAATACACACATAATATACGACGTCTAGTGGGATTGTCGTGTTTTTTTGTTTGTTAGTTAACTGTCGTTAATTATCGTTGTTAAGTTTATGTAGTTCGTGAAGGATGCAAGTTTCCGACAGCATATATTATAATACATATATCGTTTTGAATTATTTCAGTTCCGACCATTAATAATAGTACATACTATTATTACATACCTATAGGTAATATATAATATGAGAATCCGTTGACATTTCCGGAAACTATGTATACAAAACAATGTACATATAAATTGGAAAAAAATCCCGACCATCTCGTCATTGATGAGAAGGGGGGTGGGAGAATGGGGCAAGCGAATAAAAATCGACAAAAATACAACAAAAACGAATTTGTCACGGAAGTTTACCCGCAGAGGTTGTATTCGAGTTTACATACCTATATAATATATATATGCATACTCTACACAATATTAGACTATGTAATGTACAACAATAATGGTCGGCGGCCTTCTGCGATGGGTACATCCGCGTCGAAGGGTTCATCAGACTCGAGTGCACTGTCAAGGTCGTGCCTAACGACGGATATTGATTAGTTCGGCGACAATGTTATTTTTTTATAATTTTGATAGGTTTATAAATGCATTTAAATTTCGTGTAATTTACCTTGTCAAACTTAAGCACAATTTATAATATATTGTGCTCCGATCTCTACTGGTCGACAATCTACATGGCTGACTAGATGCGAATTCAGATTTTCCAACACATCCATCTTGACTTATATACGTACGGATATAACCAATACTGGTAAGCTGCAGTTTTAAGTCAAGCGCGAGTATAGACCTCGGTAAGTACGACATGTGTACGTATTCACAACTTTACAGATCTTTTGTCAATAATCACGGGCTTATGACATTGTGGTCTCCCTCCCCCCCAAAAAAACTCCCTTCCACCATCACCCGATGATCAGACTTAGGTGATGCCGTTTTCTAAAGATACATCATACGACCATATGGACCTACACACCAGTGTGTTTCCCTGCAGACTACCTATTTACTGTTATTTGTTATATTTCAACGATTTTCAGCGTCGTTCCGTGGCTTATCCTCATCCTGGCCCGTGGCAATTTGGATGAGCGGATCTTGGAATACCGCCGGGAAGATTTAATAACGATCATAAAAACAAGAAAAAACCGCAAAATGAAAAAAATCCGACGGAGGGCACAAACAGTGTTAACTATTTTCGTACTTAATTAATTCGTTCCGAGGCAGTGAACATTGTACAGCAGCTACATAACACAATATCGTAATGTTAGTGATGTGTGGTTTAATATTATATTATATTATATTATTATAATATACATATCCACTTGCTTACATTCCAAGTACTTAGTAGTTAGTACATAATAATACATGGTTTGCAACTAAACAACAGTGGCTGACGCATGAATTATTGTTAATAAAATTAAAATCATATCACTATAATAATGTAATATTGAGTTGTTGACTTGATGATTAATCTAGGCCACTAGGCAGGTAAGTAGAAGTGAATAAGTCCATATTCGTACCGATAGTTTTTTGGTAAATAATATAGTGAAAATACTAAAATACCTAATTAAAATATAATAATATGTATATTACAATTTACAATCATGAAGAATAAATATTATTATTTTTATGTTTATTTTTCATGATTGTAATGATATAATAATTATAGTAGAGTGGCCTGAATTTTCAAATCGTAGACATTTTTCGGTCAAACCGTCTTCAATTAGGTTCTTATACTTATAAAATTAAGGAGTTCCCATCAGTTTCTTATATAATATAATATTAGTATGACATACAAGTAGTGTGACACCAAAATAATATTTACCCCGATTTATACTTATACCACCTGCTCATATTGATTTCCCCACTATTTATGTAGTGATTTTTTCTTTTCCTAAATATCACTTATTTTTTGAATAAAACTATTAGACATAATATTATATACACGTATTTTATCTGGTAAAGAAGTTTGTAATGAGTTTGCTACTTAAACAAACATTATTGAAAAAAGGAATATATTTATTTTGATTTTAACGAAATTGACAATGAGTTCAAACTTTATTTATATTTAATGAATATTTAAGATAAAACATAATGTTCTTAATGTTCTTATGATTATGATGATAAGTTCCAATAATATATTGATTATTTGATTTGTATCTTAATAACTATTAAACAAGTATAAGTACCTATCTACCTAATATAGATAAACATTTATTAAAAAATAATAATATAAATATTGTACTATTAAAGCTCAAGAACCAAATGACAATTTAACTTTAGATTTTATGTCTACTGATTTTAGTTAAAATGGCATTTAAATATTAGTTATTTTAAAATCATGATGTATAAATGCGTAATAATATGTTCAATTATAATTAATTAATTATTTTTTTAAATTATGAATTTATTGAAACAGTCAAGATGTAGATTATTGTAAGATAATCCCCGTTATTAATCGCATATTAATTTTATGACCATCATAATCTTAATCGTTCAAAATCCTCGGTAGGTATATGTAGGTACTATATCGTAGGTACGTATCCATAATACTATATACAAACCAAGGGACAACAATAGGGGATTCTTTTAACAGCAGTAAGCACGAAGCACCGATTATCTCAAAAAATTTTTGCTTTGCATACCGTATAGAAGTCATTATAAAATAATTTTATGTTTAATATTTTTTTAATATTGATATATTCTATGAAAAATATTCAGTATTTGGCTTTGCAGGTATGTACTTAAAATTAAAAACCTACTTACGTTGTCATTAAAATATTAGAAATGTAAAAAAATTTTGAAAACCTTAACGATAAAAAATGGTAAAAACATATTTTTTTTTTCAAAAAGATCGTTTTATAAAGACGTCAAATTTTAAATGGAAAAATAATATTTCCAAAAACATTAATGGTCTTCGTGATGCTTACAATCATTCGTGTTTTACTGTTAAAAGAATTACACTTCGTATATAGTGTTTAAATTACAATAATATTGTTCCAGTTGTACCCGCGTATATCTGTGTACTCACTATGATAATTAGCACCATGTTCGTGCGACCGACGGTTACATGTCGGGCGCGATAAATCCGTTTGTGCAGCAACGGTGTTTGACGGGTGAGCTGCCTGACCAGGCGGGTTGGCTGTGCGGAGCGGACTGGCAGCGGGCGATTTCTCAATACAACATCTGTCTGTTTGCCTTCGACAATCGATCTATCGATTGCCGATCTATACCGACTACTCCGATCTATATACATATACTTATAAGCGATAATCGCGGCGGGGCACCGAAGCGTTCGGTATCGGATACGCTTGTCAGTATGTATATATAACGTATCAGTTATATGTAAATTGTCTATGTGATATGCCTATATAGGTACGTCCGGGGTAAACAAAAAACAAATAAAATATACAAGCGTGGGTCCAATAATAAGTCATCATTCAGTGCTGAAAGAAAAGGATCACTGCGTATGGCGATGGTGTAGTAGCTGGAGGGCATGGAACAGTTTGGCCCGACTGCAGGATAACTCCTTATACCAACAGATACCTTGTTACTAGGCCCATAATACGTATGAAACTACAGTTCCCAATTATTGGGCTTGGACGTCTGCAGTGGCGTACCCGAGGGAGGGAGAAACATGCGTATTTTCCCCACACAAAGTTTTTTTTGGAATAATCCACATTTATTTTGCTTTGGTTTTGGATTTTTATAGTTTTAAAGCGAAGTTAATATAAATTTTTTCCAATAAACTGAACATATTTGACAGGTAAGCTACTGGGCGTCTATCAGCTATAAATCATATTATATTTGCATAAAATATTCAGTATTAATTAATAATTTAATAAATATTAATTGTTCTTTGTGTAAACTAGTATAAATTTAAAAATAGTTACTTTAATAAACTAGAGTCTAATTTGAGATGTTTAAATCGCCCATAACAATAAAAGTCATACTAGGTACATATATAAATATATATTCGTATTATTTATCAAAAATATTGGTGGTTATTGTTATTAAATATAAATTGTTTGAAAGCCTTAGCTCCTAAAGCTCACTTACTCCTTCCGATTTGCTAATAATATGGTAACTCGAAGATGTTTACAAAGAATGTGGCCTGCACATATGTACAACATTTTCCGACCCTAAATGGTTTCCCAAACCGTCATCGTGTAGGACCCGGTGGCAGTCGGTAAACTATATATAACTATTTATCATAACTATCACATTGTGTTTAGAGTTAAGTACCAGCTATCTCATATTTTCAGTAGTCAATAGGTCAGCTGTGATGTAATTTAAAATATCCAACAATAACTATATAAAAATAATAATTGTTGACATAACTTGTTAGCTAAGTATTTTGTTGAATTGAATTGCATATAAACATTGTATCAACTATAAAAACCATTACATTATGGATCTGTATCATTTCCTAACTTGCACCCGAGATTCGTAAAAAACTACATTATACCCTAACAAGACTTGCATAAGACGTAACTATAACTCATAACATAGAGATGACTTTATTCACCAATAATTTTCTTAGGCATTTTCATTTCGCTCCTCCCCTTTATCTTTTATTAATAATAATCGAAATTTTGATTTTTAGAATATTTTGAACACTTTTAACATTTTCAATTAAGACCAAAATACATGATATTTTCAAATACTTAAATTGTTATACAAATTAAGGATGATTGATGGTTGTATAAATTTCTATTCTTAAAAAGAGAACGTTCCTTCTTTCCTATAAAGTATTGCTAGCAGATGATTTTTTTTTTTTAATTTTTGATATACCTACCTATAAGGTATATTGACATTTTAACTAGTAGCTTCTGAGTTATATAACTAATAACTGAAAGACAAATATTATGATCCTTAATAATGATTTTACGCAAAGTATAAACTAAATGTAATATTTAGTGCTTGGGACATTTTGAAAATTATAAAATGCTAATTAATTAATATTAATTAGCATAATTTTTGAACCATCACAGCCCCCATTTCTTTTAAAATAACAACCTTGGATTATTACCCTAGTTTAATAAAGTTTATAATTCAGAAAATATTTCTTCGAATTTATATTTATACATTCATCAGCATTTTTTTTTATTCGCTACACACAGTATTTAGGTAGGGTAAAAAAAAGGTTAGTTCTCGTATAAAAAAATTAATTTGTACCACCGCAGGACACTCGGGATAAAAATGACATGAAAAAATATGTAATTATTTGAAAATACGGTTTTTTTATACATAACTAAAAATGTCAAAACTCAAATTCATTATTAGCGTGAGAAAATGTGTGAGAGATCAAATCCACTGAATACATTTTAAAATATAGTTTAATTTTCACCGTGTGAGTTGAATCAAAGCTAGAGAGCATTGATTTTTTGTTTTTTGTTCATTCGGGTTAAAATTGGAGGCGAGTTCAAAGACGACCGACCGACTGTTCAATAATGATAAAGGTTTTCGCGCATAATAGTATGTTTTAGAACATTTATAATCGCTTCTCGCAACAATCCGGGAGTGGGGGATTGGGGGGGAGGGGAGGGGGGGCTAAGGAAACTATGCGTATACGTTGCCATTCCGTCTGCAGATTTAATGCGATTCGATTACACGCGCCGTGCGTCGTTTCGACGTTTTTATCGCACAACCATCAAATCCAGGCTCTCTTATTTTCGACCGCTTTTATATAGTACGTTAGCGCTGTAATAATAGAGTACATATAATACTGCTGCTATAGTAATGCGTAAACGAAAACCATATTAAATTTTAAACGCAAACATAACATAACCTACGTGCACCCCGCTTCTGTAGCACTACAATAATACTCATAGACGATACACGTGAAATATTAATAATACTATGCATATAACTAGGTACCATGTTTAGCACGGAACACTGTGTACATAATATTATATTCAATTATGACGAAAGCTCGTCTCGTACGCAGTGTACAAACAATTATTATGTTTTGTGCATATGTTATTTGATAATAATTATTGTTAATCTTTTGCAGTCAGTTGAAAAGGTGAGAAATCAGTTAAATAGATTATAATGAGTTAATACGCACGCGCGGCTTGATAGCAATGCGCGTATTAAATATTTATATAACTTTCATTTATTTGTACAGAAATATACTCATACATAGTAGTACTTTCCAATAATTGTATGATTATATTTTACACCGCATTACAAACGTTAATATAATTTGTACAATAATTAAACGAAACTCCTTTAAAAATTATTGATATTTTGAAACAATTTAGTGTAAACGATTTTTTGAATTTGTTGTAGGTATTGAGTATGTACGAATACATACAATTCATAGCACCAATCACATTGTGCACATATTCAATCATGATCATAGCTCGCCATATGCATTGTACAAACAATTATTATATTTTGTGCACATGTTATGTAATAATAATAATAATAATAAATATCTTTTGTAAGAAATTAAAAAGGTGAGAAATTCGTAGCATATTATATTTTATAAAGTTAACACACAGTATCACACGACTCGATGGCAATGCGACTATTAAATTACTAAGCTTATATACATTTACCTACAAGTGTTTAAACGAAACCTATTTAAAAATGCCTGATGATTTTGAAACGACTTGGTATGAACGGTTTTTTGAATTATTTATAGGTATTTTCCAAGTATAGAGGAGTAGAAACACATACAATTTAAAACGTCAATCTAAAGTCAGTACTAAATTGTAATTTTAGATGAAAATTTCATTTTCTGAGTAAAATATAAAATGTATGAAAGTAAAATATGTTGATAAGAAATTTATTTTCTTAAGAGAATATTATCTGAATTAGAACTTTCAGATAAAAGTTTGATAAATTAAATTCACCATATTTAACAAATATCGCTGTTGAGTCCACACAAACAACTTAAAGTTTGTTGAAGCTTCTATCCTTACTCGTGTTATTTGTTCGAACCAAAGTTTTCAGCACATCCCGTGTTCGTCGCTGTCTACCAAAAAATAAGAAAAAATAATAATTGAAGCTACATCGCACAGACAAAATTGTTTACAAAATGTGTCGTCGAAAGCATAAATCGCATGTAGACACCTGCAGGTGTGTACCAAAATATATTGTTTACGTTAGTCGTATATGATATTATTGTAATAATACTGCGATAATATTACGTGCGAATTAAGAACAGTTAGTTCATCTCGATGCGGGACGATTTGATATTAAACATTTTCGATGTAAAAAATAATTATAATCATAAAAATAATAATAAAACATTATTATAATAATCATAAGCTGACGTCTCATTTGTATGCGCACTGTGTGCACAACCGCAATGCTTAAAGAGAAACGCTAAATTCTATGTACACGGTCATATTATTATATATTTTGTGTTTTACCGACGACGTTACTTCCAACGAGCTGCGCCACGATATTTATCATTGTAATTATGCGTATTTAAACTAACGCCATAAATTGTTACAAAGGCTGCAGTGCAGTGTACAGAGCGATTCAGCAAGCATGCTCATATTTTGTTCCTTTAATAATGAATTTATTAAAATGCTAATTTTTGGACAATATTTTCAAAAGTATGGGTTTCTTATATGCCACTATAAAGGAGTGTTCTGCTGTGTCTATTTTTTAAAATACGAGAACCACAATTTTGTTTCGTACGTTATGGATCAGATGGGTTTTCTTTTGCATGAAATACTGATGATTAAAAGTACAATTTTTTAAGAGATAGTTGTGTCTGAATTATTAAACTTGATGTAGGTAGGAACTAATATGATTTAGTAAATAGTAATACGCGGTAAAAGGTTTAAACATTTTTCTGGGGATATGAATTATGATGATTAGAAAATGATAGTTATTATATAATTAATATAATTATTAGGTAGGTCATGTTGTTTCTATTAACATTTTATAATTGAATATAACTGTGAGGTTGTCTTTATAAAAATTATTTTAGACTATATATTTCATCTATTATTTATTTGATGCAAAACCATTATGCAGGATTTTTATAGTTAGCATGTATAAAGGAACTAAGGCACAACTCGTCCGAATTTTTATTTAGACGTAACATTTTCAAAAAAAATTATTTTCCCCGTTTTTCCTTAATTTTTTGTTTGTTTTTCCTATCGCTTTTGAATACTATT